AAATTTTCGTAATCTTATAAGATCTTACCTTCTAAGATCTTGATAAGATAATCCAAGATCTTAATTAAGATCTGAATAAGATTTGATGACTCTATTTTCATTCACCCTTTTGTTCTTCTGTCCTTGAGCAACAACGTAAATATAACTAAATTTTACATTGTTATTTTACTTTTAGACTTGGCGCATACTTGCTCTCTCGAATGTGTCTAATAACTTTTTTAGAGAGTGCAGAGTGCAAGTCAAGATTCAGAATCGGACTCCCGAAAATATGAAAATTTTCTTCATTTTTCAAACCTGTTCAACTTCTATAACAACATCATAGACTAGCTATTCAAATATTGTTAGCTAATGGTAAATTAATGTTATTAAAAAGTTAAAAAAATACTGTTAGGGCAGTAACAGTTTCTCATACAGTCTTGGAAAAAACTTAGATAAAATATAACGTATTCTTAATAAAATCTTATTAAGTTCTTGACAAGATTCAAGTAAGTTTCTTAGTAAACTCAAGTTACAGTAATCGTAGGTAACTATATATGTTGCGTGTAGTAGTAGATGCACAACTGAGTTCACTACGTGGTAGTATTAATCAATGAAACAATTTTCTTTACTCTTAGCCCGGTTGTCTACTGTAGAAAACAGAGTAAGAAGAGAAACTTAAAAGAAAAGAATCATTTTTACATATCAAGATTCAGACAATACAATAGAAAGTATTCGAATAAAGACTTTTGTTTTCAATGAGAAAAAATGCTTAGTTGATTTTAAGATATTCTTTGTTTTAATACAGAAATTTAAACGTCATATAAAAGAAGTGATAAAATTTGAGGTAACGTTCTAGACATTACACTTACGAAGGAACCTATTCACATGTCCAACTCCTTTTGACTCCATCTTTTGGTCATAAGTAGACCTCAGTGAGGTATGACAAACCTCAACAGGATTCATGGCCTCAGGTCTTTGTTTCCGAGATATCGAATTTTTAAGTTATGCGTAAAACGATCTTTGCAAAGTTCCATGCAGTGCATCTCCGATAAAACTTTTGAAAGTGAAACTACCTATGATTCAGAGAAATAAATATAGCTCTACAGACAGATAGTAAAAGAGAGAGAGATAGTAATATAACAGTTATCATTTTCTGGAAAAAGAAAAGTATCGGACAACAAAGAGAGACAGAGATGATATATACAATATGATGTCTGTGAGAAATATTGAGAAAAAAGAATGACAAAGAGAGTGAATGTGATGAAACGCGTGTGACATGTGAAAGGCCATGGACCTGTAACACAATCGAACATCTTAGAGCTCTATCTATTTCTCTGAACCATAGGTAGTTTCACTTTCAAAAGTTTTATCGGAGATGCACTGCATGGAACGTTGCAAAGGTCGTTTTACGCATAACTTAAAAATTCGATATCTCGGAAGCAAAGACCTGAGGGCATGAATCCTGTTGAGGTTTGTCATACCTCACTGAGGTCTACTTATGACCAAAAGATGGAGTGAAAAAGAGTTGGACATGTGAATAGGTTCCCTCGTTAGTAGTTGCTCTACAATATGGCATTGTTTTAAAAAGCGTTTTCGGAGATCCAGATTTGAGAGAGCATATGAGTCAATATGGATATCAAATTTGTTATTACTATCAAAAAGTCATTCTTACTCTCATATGAATTAAGCAGAATGTATGGTAAAAGGGATACGTGGGATATGTTTCTCATTAATTGTTTTATTGTCTTATTGAATGATATTATAGTCTTCTCATCCTTAGTTGTCGGTACGCTGTTCTGTTGTGAAGTACTCGTTAATTTTGACTGCATCCTCGCTGTTATGATTGCTGGTGCTAATGGATGAGTTTATTGTGCTGATAACATAATCTACAAAATATTATTATATAGGCAACGACTAGTAAATAGCCAATGTGCATACGTAGTAGATACGATCTCATTTTATATTGAAACGTAAATGTATTTCATATTTGATATGCGTTAAGAATCATAACTACTTTAAGATTTATTTAGTACAGGAAATATTAAGGATTAATACTATTCTTTTGTATTCGAAATTAAGTCATATTCTCCAACATTAGAAAATTCGAATAACACTTATGGTAGTTGCGGTGACATTTGTATCATTATCGTATCGAAATAATTTGTGTCATTTAGTACGTATAAGATAAATTGTACATATAAGATAAATGCTTCGATATCTTTCCCGTTATAGAGTAACAACTTTCTGTCATCATCTAATCTTAAAAATGCCATATTTAGTTTTTTACTGATTTTCAATTCAGTATTTTGATAGTATTGTAGCAGCTGTTTTAGTAGAAGGACAATTGCTAATGCTTTGGAGGTATCAGTTGATTATTGATATTTAAACTCGACTTTGTTTGTACTAAACAATACGTTAGGACAATGATTCGTAAGTAGATGCATGGATATCATACAGGCTAGAAAAGTTGATATTATTTTTGCAGTTTACAGCAAAACTGCTTAACGTGTTTTATACAAATTGATTTTGTGTTTTTTCGGCAATTTTGATTTAGAATTCTAATAATGGAATTTTTCTGCTACATTCTCATAATAAGTGACCATTAGTTCGAAAGATAAGCAGAGAATTCGATTAGGTGAAAAAAGAATCTGTTTCTTTGCTGGAAAAAAGTTGAAAAACCTTAGTGACGTGAGAAAACGATCTTTTTCTCAAAAATGATAAACAAATAAACTAAGGGTAAAAATAAGATAGAGAATGAGACAAACGTACGTGTGAGTATGGCATACCTTGAACGAATTCCGTATGTCAAAAAGTGTTTGGCAAGAGATTTGTGGTATTTATATAAGGAAGAGGAAACATGTGATTTTAAGTGCAAAGCTGGTATGGAAGATAGTAGAGCTATTGCAAAATAAGGCACTTGACTTTTCTGAGTCAAACTGTATATAAAACAAAGCCATTAGAAAGGCTATTTTAACAGGCTAACCTTTGAATATCCACATCGTTTTATCCTTCAACAGATTAGACACTCTTTCGCAGTAGCTAGCTGTCAGCGGAGAGATGAATATCCATTGACAACTCCCAGTGAGACGATATTTTAACTGCATTGTTTTCCTGAAAAGCTGTGAGTAAATCGTATTAATGTTCAAGACGTACACAGTTCTACATTATGATTAATGCTCATCATGTCCCTAATAGAAGTGTGCAACTTACATAATTTTGGCAACTAGTACTCTAGCTTAATAGTAAGTTCTAAAGTGTAAGACGACAGGTAGTGTATCTGCCAGAAATGCGGACAAACAAAGTTAAAAACAGAGTTGTTAACAACTTGCAAGTTAATTTAGAAGAAATTTTTTAATCCAAACCTAACATAACTTATAGGTTGGGTGAGTTAAAGTTAGATTACGTTTAAATCTGCACTTATATCTACCCCCGTCGTAGTTTTAACTAACGTAAAGAAAGATCTTTTTATCGATATTCAATTCTTTAGCTAATCAGGCGGAAACCTAAAAAAGGATTTACTACAAACACTCTGGAATTTATCAAAAAAAGTGTAAAAAAGGAAAATGATAACGGGTCACATATGCAAGATGACAAGAAAACTAAAATAGGTCATAACTACATATCGATGTCGGTGTCGCCTATCACAAAAGTACGGGTGACCGTACTTCAACGAGTGATGACATAAAAAAGTACGAGAGTGCGCCGAACACGTTCTAACATGAAAAGAAGCCCCATGGAAACAACTAGTTCTCAACGAGGTCACTCCGTACTTATTTTTAGTACGAGGTTTGGATGCCTGTTCCAAGATTTTTGTAACTTTTTAGGTCATAAAAAAAATAAGCTCTCCATCCATTAGGACTTGCAAGAAAACACTTATAACTTTCTCTCACAATTCTGGATAGAATAGTGGCACGCCTTATTCTATAGAAAATTTCTACTCGTTGTAGTTCTACAAAACTCTCTTAGAAGTTTGCCAAAACGTTACAGAGACTGAAAGTACATATTTCAGGCTATATGCTAATATATCGAAACCGATACTTAATGTCGAGGTAAAACTGTTATTTGAAGCAAAACATCGACTAATATCTGCTAGTTTTGGGGTAATAGTAAAATATGAAGACACCCACAGACGTCCACAGGCACTTACAGACACCTACAGACAGTACACAGACATCTATAGATAACCACTGACAAGTACACAGGCAGGATAGAGACACCCACAGACAACCAAAAATAATTACACCTTCTAAGTATTTTAAAACTATCCTTTGGTAGTCAAAATACGTGAAATCAGAGATATTTTCTACAACAGAATGAACTGACAAAGTATTTCACAAAATACTATTCAGTTTCTTATTTCAACTAAGAAAACCTACATGAATTGATTATAAACATGCAATGCATTGAGGAACGTCTCTTATAAAAACCATCTCAGTTTTGTGTATGAAATCAGACACTTGCGAAAGCTCTTTTTTCCAGTTAATTAAAAATATTTTTGGTATTTTGATTGAGATGAAGAACGTTTACTGTACATATTTTCAAGTATCTTAGGATTTCAACTGAAGTAACAGTCAAATCATTTTTTTACGATTTATTCAAACTGAAACCGAAATATTAACGAGTTTTGAAGCGAACAAAAAATATTTTCATTTAAAATACGCATTTTTCTATCTAGTACTAAATTAGTTTTTTTTCTTTTTTTTTTGTTAAGAGAAGAGAGAGTAACGAAGCAGTGGGAAAAAGAAAGAAACATTGTAAAACAGAAAGTTGAACGATCAATCTGGCGAGTTAAATTTTTTTTCTTTCGTAGAAATTTGAGTAAATACATGTATTATCATATAAATATGATAAGAAATAGTGAGAAGAGGAAGAGAGAAAATGAAAAAACTAAAATGCACAAATCCGCATAATTTATTCGATGCTGTTTTGTCTCGTCTTGTTTTCAACTAATAATATCATAGAATATATATCTTCTTGTAGTATTAAAATGTTATTATTATCATTTATTGTTATCAAATTAAATGGATATTACCAATTATACTAATTCTTCTGATTCACTTGACCTTGCTAGTGGATTTAGTGGTCCAGGAGGTGGAGGATCGGATAGTAAATGGCTCGGTCGTATAACAAATGTTTTATCATTATTAATATTTATACTCGCCGTTTTAGGCAATTTTTTTGCCTTATTAGTTATGTTTGGTAATCGGAAACCAATACGTTCAACAACAAATTTATTTTTGGTTAATTTAGCTTGTTCAGATTTATTACGTAGTCTTTTTATGCCATTTACAATTGTGGCAAGAATGCAACGAGACTGGTATTTTAAACATGGTGAAATACTATGCAAAATTATTCCAGTTGTACAAGGTAAATAACATTTCTAAACATTCTCTCTTTGCCGTTATTTATAGATGAAAATATCAAAGAAACAGTGATCTAAGTCACTTAATTATAGTTAAATATAGTTTTTGTTATTTAGAAAGCAACATTGATTCATTGACATATCCCCCAATAATTTGAATGTCAAAATAACGCTTTATTTTATCTCTATTTGTACTTAAAAATATTATCCTGTCGAGTAATTAATCTTAGTTAAAATTGTTTCCTATATACTTTTTATATATAATGAAGTAGCAGTAATGATTGAATGACAAGGATAAATAACAATCATATCATGCAAATTAATCTCAATATATTATACTACTCTTGTCTTTTATCTCACGTTCTTTTAGCTAGAAAACGTGACATCAGCTGTCTTATGCATCAATTCCCATAGTCAAGCAAGATTCTAATCTCGTCGGTTTCTTTCTGACAAGATGAAAATATTAATCTGTTATTTTATAGAAAAATATGAGAAGTTTTACGCAAAATATACAAAATATCGGGTATAACAGAAGAAACCGCACGCTATGTATCTTTGTTTTTCTCTTCTCTCTTAGACCGTAGACTGTTCATTCGTTTATCAAAAGATTATCTATTCATTTCTCTATAAAATCGTATATAGAAGATGATTCTCGAAGCTTTGAGATGCTGCCTTAATTGAAGACAAATTCAAATGTCCTAAAAACTTAACAATTTTTGAATTTGGACTCTATTTTTGAAAGTGATAGGAAGAAGACCTGAGATCGTTCCTTGACATATTCAGATAGCACAAGATTCATTTTGTCCTCGTCGACCTAATGTGATAAAAATACCTAGTTAATAATTAGCAGTCATAATTGAACAAAATATGCTAGTTTTAACATCTAGATTATTTTTAGAAAAGTTCACCAATAGTTTCGCACATGAATCGAGTAGATCCAACATTTGCCTTCAAAATGAAACAAGAATAAGCCTTATTGATTCATTTTTGACTGAACATTGTTCATTTTACAAACAGCCCCAAAATGTGGGGTGAAGAAGCTGAAAAATGATTGTAGTGCTTTTGCAAAAACACACGAATAACGAAGTGTTTGAAGTGTTTGAACACACGATGACGACTGATGAACACACGAATAACGACAGAAAATTCGTATTAGAACCAATCGATACAGAATTTTAAATGCTACATTTTGATCAATTTGCTCTGACGCAATACACTCACTACTTAGAGTTAAATTTGTTAAGTTTTTAGGAAATTTGAATTTGTATTCAATTAGGACTGCGTCTCCAACCTTAGGATCGTCTTCTATACACGATTTTGTACATCCGGTATTTATATATTATGGCGAATTTCAAACTTAAAATTTTTTAAAAACTTTGTTAATCTTCGTTCTGCTGTTTTAACGTTGATTTTGCTGTACTGACGATCAGAAATCTTTGAGTAAGAAAACAATTATTTTATCGGATAATAAACATAAGAAATTGTTACTATAATGGTAATTTTTTACTATATTCAATCGCATTAATAGAGTTTTATTAAATAGAAAAGAAAATAATTTTGTGTGAACGTACCCGTGAAACGATTCTTATACAACACATATCAAAGATCTCTTTTTGAGATATTATTGCTCGCACATAAATTTACAGTGTTAATAGAATCATATTGAAATAAGTTGATTATGCAAGAAAAAAAAAATTATAGATGTAAGGAAGTCATACGACATCTGTTCTGTGCATTGAATAAAGAGTATCATATGATATTTTGTTAAGAATCAATTCAATGATATCTTTCTTCATAGACAAAAGTTAACCTATAAAACATGTTATAATGAAGAGTTGTTGTGTCAGAACTTTTCTAGATATAAACTGACATAAATAGCCGTTTTAATACTTATTAATATCTATTTAAATAACAGATTTTACTGTGAAGATTGCAATTAAATCTATAATAAACAGTACAGAGAGTGAGAGAGAGATTGAATTGCCGTTCCATGTGCCAAATAGCTGCCTTTTTTGAAAAACTTCAGATTTTTTTCTGACAAGACAATCTATTGTTAAAGAAATATAAATCCAAAATATAGAACATTTGATGTATTAGAAATGTCAGTAGATTGTTTCTCTCTTTACAAACAAACTTTTGTTTTTAAAGAATGTTTTGTTGTTTTGTGATATATGTGTATACAAGGTTTAAATAGTGAAACATACAGAATTCAAAGCTTATTTAATCATTTATTCACAATGCCAAATGAATGAAGTTGTTATCTGTTGATGAAAAACAAAAAACAATAATAATAGACAGAACGGAAATGAATACATTGCGAGTTTAATTTACATAAAATTATATTGTAAGACAGTTTTTTTCTCTAGATTTTGCAGCATCAAAAGTGACATGACAGTTAAGATTTTTCTTCTTACAGTGTTAATGATAATTTTCACCCTGTGAGCATCGTATTTCAAATTTACTAAACAATAGTAGTTTTCTTTTTGTTTTGCTTCTCATAACTTTTCAATAGTATCCGAGAACATTTGAATAACTTCGAAAATGAATGAACACATAAATTTTCAAATCGTTACAATGTTTATTTCATGAGAAGAATGTTCAAATTTGGGATAAAAAACTCCATATCTCTTTTTAGAATCAACTGAAACTTTCGAAAGTAGTCACCATCGATATTTTTTTTTTTAATCAAGAAATTGTCTACATATGTAGCTGAAAACTCTCCTTAAAGGAAACCATCATTTTTGTAGTTTCTAGCAGTCATATGGATTAGTTATAAGTTGAAGTTATCTGAAGTTTTCGGGATATCCTGTCTTCATAAATACAGTTTCATAAATCACACATTTATGAAACTTGTAAAAAGTCTTATAAAAATTTTGACATAGCTTTCAGAGAAAAATTTTCTTCATTAATTAGCACATGTCTCCGCAAGAGGGTTGTTAATTAAATTGGTTTAATTGATGAATTAAGATAACTGCATATGTTTCTAAGAGGGTTGTTACAGTAGTATATTAGTATAAGTCTCATAGTGACATAGGTTTGAATAGTAGAGAAGTCAATATCTATCGCTGAGCTTCTTAATATCTACAGTATGTCTCAGAGCAACGTATAGGTCTCTGAACGGGTGATTCTTAGTCCTTTTAGAATAAAACATAGACTTCTTATTCAATTGATTTAGTTAGAAAATGTCAGATATACGGATATATCTGATACAAATTCACTACGCTGTTTAATAGACAAACTCCTCAATTTAGCCACACAGCGACAATCACACTTTAAACTAATAACTATGCTATTTATTACTATTTATGTCTGTTACTATTCAACAAAAAATATTTTTTACATTTACAAAACATGTTTTTATAATACACGCTTGAATTTACCTTCTACACTTTCACAATAAAGGCACAACTTTTTATTCCTTTAAAAGAATTTGGACATATCTGTAACAGATGCTGTTAGAGACTTATACATAACCCTGTTGGAATAAAAATACTGATTTTTGTACGAGTAAGCATATGTCTCTGAGAGACTCACGTCTCACTTAGAGACTTGTATATACAGTTTTAGAATAAATTCCATATTTTTATTTAAATCAGTCTGTGTCTCTAAGTAACTCATACCTATCGTGGTGCCATATTAGCACCTCTGTTTGGTTGAGTCACTGTGTCTCTACGAGCTTCACATAGCACCTAGAGGCACATTGATACTGTTTTTAATTAAATAATCATTATTTTCAATTAAAATACCACAAACACACGTCTCTACGTGACATATACCAACTATATAAGTTGTATGCCTCTATGTGACATATTAATACTACAATTAATTAAAGAACTAATTAATTAAACCTGAAATAACATAAATCACACATTTATAAAACTTGGATGTTGAATTTTTTAACTCACAAATTACATAAAAATGAAAATTTTTATGAAACTTGTAAAAAGTTTCATAAATGTGTGATTTATGAAACTGGATTTATGAAGACAGGATAATCCAAGTTTTCAAGGGATTTTAGTTGATTCTAAAGAGATATGAATTGTCCAGATTTGAACACTCTTCTTACGAAATAAACATTTCGATGATTTGAAAACTTATGTTTTCATTTATTTTTGACGTTATTCAAATATTCTCATATACCATCGAAAAGCTCTAAGAAGCAAGAAAAGCTATTATCGAGTTGAAAAAATATGAAAGACCGAGATCTCGAGACTGATTTGAAGCATTTATATATTTTCAATAGGTTTATTTTATACAATAGAATTTTTCGGAATAGAAATAAGTGAAACTATTTGTTTTGAGTTAATAAAGGGAATATTCAACAGTAAGATGGTATGAACGGTAATACGATCATGATTAATGATTAAAAGTATGCTCTAATTCTTTCGTTGTATGCAAAAACTAATTTGCTTTTCGGAAATGAGTTATTTTTCAACAGGTAAACATGTTAAATTATCAATCTTGGTTTAAACATAATGCTTTTATATCTACCTAGTTTTTACATATAACATTATTCATTAAACCGATAATCACAATGGTGTCATTCGACATATTTATGAACACGCACATATATCTCAATTTTCTAATTTATGTTTATTCTCAATGGATATGTTTTAGTAAAATTGGTCTGACCTCAGTTTATCATTGCATCCGCTTTTATCTCGGTCAAATAACATACCCGTCCTTTTTTTAGGTACATTTGATTCACTTAAATCATAACATTTAACGTTAATAACTAATAATTCTTCTTATACTTTTACAACGGTTAACAGTTGATTAAAAACTAAAAGACACTCCACAAATTAAATTCTAGTGATTTTCTTCAGTAAAATAGGATTTAATCAAAATTAACGTTTCGGCTCCAGACATTGTATGTTCGTTCCATTCAGATTTTCAATAAATATTATTAATTACTCAGTTACTGATGACATTTTGTTCTTGATAACATATCTGTTGACTATACATACATATACTTGAAAGTACATAAAAAACATAACTCGATAGCCGATATAA